CGTTTAGTTGGAAAAAAGTTTTTTGAAACAGAAAGGTTGTCTGTATATTTTAACTTTCAACCTACATTATTAATTGATATACATTGTCTGAATATACAAAGATTATTTTTTACAGCAAGAAGCTTCTGCAATTCTGCCCTACCTCCAGGAATTCAGAGCCTTTCGTTATTTGAAACATTTATTAAAACTACTTGCATACACAAACATATTGCTGCCTTAAATATTGCAATCCATCATGTTGAGCAGATTGTGCTTTGCAGTTTTCCTAATATCACTATCATGCAGCTGATTATTCTGTTTAATGGGGACTATAATCACTTTTTCTATTACTGCACACTGTTACTTCTGTTGGCAGTAAAAGGGCAAAGCTACATTTAAGCAGAGTGGAGAATCAATGCATGCAATGATCTTTCCACATTTAATTCTAACACAATGGAATTACTTGGATGTGATTGTGGAGATTTATAGAAATCGAATAAGAAGTGAAATGCTAAAAAAAAATGTTAGTTATTGTTAGCGTTGAAGGGATGGATGTTAGGCTTTTCATATATATTCGCTTTCACACTGTTTGCAAGTATTATAAATCAGACAAAAAGTCAGTGCATGCTATCACATTTTTGCGTGGCCACCTTTTAAATGGTGAGTCTTCACGCATTTAAATTGTGTGAAGCTTCATTTGGTTTGGGCCTTTCCTCTTCCTCCAATGCCCGGTAGCAGCATGTTTCCTGAGGCGACTGAAGCTGTGGTCACAAGGTGATAAGCAGTATCTGTGCTGCAGCCAAACCTGCCTAAGCCTTGCTGGAAATGAAACTGAAATATGAACACTTTTCTCTCCACTCCTTTCCATCCCACTGCCCTCCCTCCCTCCCTGATAACATAATTATAGCTGCTCTTTTTTCCTCTTTGCCCACACCTTTACGCACATTTGTCTGAGATTAAAACAGAATGTGTGCCTGCTCTGCCGACTGAGTCTGGCTGGAGATGTGACAGTCGGAGGTTTTAACATCCTTTTCTTTGAGCTCATAGTGCTAAAATCAATGCTGGGTATTCATCCAAATTTTGTTTTGCTTCAGCACACATTACATGACAGTGCTCTCATTCACAGGGGCCGTTCTTATGATACGTACAACTACACAATCGATGGAAGAAACACCGTTGCTAACTGGATTTAGTTCTGAAATGATGCTTGATTCTCTAATTAGTTCTGGTAGTATCTACTTGTAATTTGAAAACAATTAACATCTGTATAATTATAAATATTACTAGCGGTCAGTTAGCAAGTTGAAATCACAAATATATCATGGGTTTTTTATTTCACCCATTCCAGGTAGATTACTTTGAAATGTAAACAATGTATTTCTACTTTGCTTAACAATTTTTGCAGCAAAAGATGCATTTTCAGAATCTCATCTCTCTGTGTAATGAACCACTGTTCATACAGTATTGTATGTGTATAGAAAAGTATATACAGTATTTAAATATACTAGATAAATAGTTTTAATTACAGGTAGAAAAGATATCGATGCAAGGTCATATCTATTGTTAAGAAATATGCAACATTTTTTAAAGATTTGATTCAAAGGGGTTTCATTACCGTACAGACAATTAAATAAATAAAAGATCTTTATTTTTTTATTAAAATACATGCTTGCAAGGATATTTTGCATTCAGTATTGATAAATCATTATTGTGTGCAACGTAACTGCTTATTTTTATTTATATCACAACCGAAAACATGAAGAACAGTGTCTAAAATACATTAAACCTAAAATAATAATTATCAAATATACAGTATTTCCTGGGGATATTCAATGACTTGCAGTGATAAATATAAAAAAACCTGTAAAAACTGTTAGTTTTTTTTGCTAGATTAAATCTGTTGTAGTTATTGACAGCCCTTCATTAGTTACATTTGTTTAATGTGCATGACATCATATTCACAATTCACAAAGCAGAGCATCACATGTGGTTTCTCTCCTAATTTTTCTGATTTATCCACCAGATCTGCCCACAGCATCAGGATGTAAGACTCGCACTCTGATTATAAATTACCCTTTTGTAACATGCTTGAATAAACCTTGTCTTCTTGTCTTCTCTTCATTTAATGCAGTGGCAATGCCACTTTTTTATGCAACTCAAGGCAACATAGAGGGCGCTTTTGCCGTGGATGAATATGGTGGACCATTAAAAGGTTACAGTCATCAATTATGGTTAAGGCAAGGATGGTACATGGGAGGATAGACTCTGAAATTCTGTTTTAAAGGGAAAGACTGTACAGCAGATGTCAAGGATTTAGGTCAGCCCAGATTAAGATAAATGGTTGCCTCAGAGAGACGAATCAGTTTCAGCCCCAGCCAGAATGCCATTACAACATCTGAGGAGACACACACACACACACACACACACACACACACACACACACACACACACACACACACACACACACACACACACACACACACACACACACACACACACACACACACACACACACACACACACACACACACACAAACAAGGCATGTGGTCAACAAACATGTTTTGCATTCATCATGTTGAGAATAATCTCTTAATTGTGTCTAGCTGTTTAGTTGTGTGTTTCTTTAAGTCTCTCTCCGCAAAGGTTTCTGAAATGTCTTAGCGGCTTGGTGCTTCACTTGAAGGAATTAGAGTTGATGTTTCGATATTCAACCCATGCTCCATTTCCAGCAGCACATTCAGCATTTTACTGTACTGATTAACAAGTGATCACTTAATCATGTATTACTAATAAGCCTCTTAGTTTACTGTCATGGGTACGTGTGAGTGTGAGTGTTTGGGGAGATGTCAGAGGCAAATTTGTCAAGGTTTTAGAGACTATGCTTTACAGTACTGACCCTCTGGAAACCAAAGGACTGTCAACAGGGCCCGCCGAGGCCCATTAAAAGCATGCAAACATGGATCACTCTCTATGGTATTTTGCTGGAGCACAGCGGATGAAGGTCAGCGGATCAAAGGCTTTTGGCTGACATTCCTTGGTGCCTGATGAGCCCTCTTGGGTTTCATTGATTAGCCAATGAGAGGCTGAGGCAACGACATTGAACAGATACAAACAAAGTGACTTGTCTTGCTTCAGATGTAGAAAACTTATTTTCTCCTCAGCTTTCCCATGAGACATGCACCATGTTGGATTCTCTTCAGTGAGCAGTCCTGTCAGTGATCCTCACACTCTTAAATGGGGTGACGAGTCCTCTGACACACACTCACCAGATATTGAACATACTACATGATCATACGTTCACCTACAGCTACAGCCATCAGTTGCTAAAGAAAACTGTGTATGAGATCCTGCTCTTTTGGCTGAATGTGTGCCTTTAAAGTACTACACTATATCACTTACACTGATTTTACCCAAATAGAATGTGTTTGATTGAATAGGGACAAATATGACCCCTTTTATAATCCCACAAGTGTTTTTAATTAAGTCATTAATTAGGGAGAGATACTCCAGAGGTACAGCTGGGAGTGGATTTCTGATATTCATGGTTAAAATTAGTGAGTGTTAGTGTGTGACAAAGGAATTGGGGACAACCAGAGGAAGCTTTGGTGTATTACTGAAGAGAACAATATAAAACAATCTTCTTTGGGGGCAGAAGGCATTGGCTACCTCAACACATTTTTTTTGGTAAATACTCTAAAAAAAGTTGTCTACAGAATTACAATTAAGGACTGTGAATATAAATCTCTGCACATTCAGTTAGAATGGTAGAGACAGATTTAAGGTGAGTTTTTTTTTATGACTGTGTGTGTTTAGATGAATGGCAATCTAACACAAAACCCTATACTGTACACAGAGCTTAACCCATAAGAACCTGGACCAATTTCTGGCTCAATAAAAATTAGTGGGAGCATAACACAGGTTGAATAGAGCACATAGAACACATGTCTAAAAAAAAAATCTAAATTCCACCACCAGATGACAGAGATCTGAAAAGTGACATCAGTGTCACTGCAGTCTTATTTGATTGTTAAATTAAATTATTAAATGTACAGTGTTTTCTGACATTTCTGACATTCCTGAGCACATTCCATTAACTCTGAAGCTTCCAAAGATGTTACCATAGGCATATTATGTATGGTTGGAAAGCTGAGAAGGAATGGAATCCATTTCAGATGACTTAGTCATGGTCAAACCATCTCAGAAAGAGCACAGAGAGAGAAAGGAGTATTTGCATTTTCCGATTGCCCCCAAAAGGGCCCGCATGCCATTATTGGCCCCAAAAGTGCCCCCACCAAACATCTCTACACCTAGGCATGCCATATGTTTTTTAACATCTACATTTCCCAAGGAACAATTATATCAAGTCCATTCCCCAAGGTCCATAAGACCTTCCCAGAAGGAGTTATCATCAAATAAAGGTCAAGTGTTGTCGCCAGAGCACCACACCTGCAGCAAGGGACTGATCATTAGTGCTCACCTGACTCACCTGTGTTGATAACGCAATTGCACTCTATTCAAAGACCATGTCCATGTCCCACACTGTCCTCAAGAGACAATACAATATGTATTATATCTATTATATGTAATATGCCATGTATTACTAGTGTAGAACAAGTGCCATTCATTCATTTGTCACACCAGGTGTCTGACATTTCAAACTGGACCAGGTGAGAGGTGGATCTTTGTCTGTTAGGTCAATGTCAATCTTCTTTGTCTAAATTAATCAAATCAGACTGAGATATAGTTGGACTTTTATTTTTATCAACATCCAATGCCAGCTCGTGATGGATAAGAAAAAACAATGTCCCGGTGCTAAGAAATTCATTATCAGATCAACAGCAGGAAAAGTAACAACTGAACAATAGAAAACCAGTGTTGCTCGTGGGTAGATTATGGGAACCATTATGGAGACGTGCGAAACAGAGGTTATCAATGAATCACCCCCAGGAATATCTTTAATCTGCCGGCACAAGCCAAACGTCTCAACAACCTTCCGTTCCTGCTCTTCCTAGCATCAGTCCATCCTACACTAATCCTTCTCCAGGCCTACTGCTGGCTGTCTTAGAAATGGGTTAGAACCTTTGAAGCGTAACTTTCTTCGTTCTGTGAAGCAGCAGAGAGCACGTCGCAATTCTCACACAGCGGTCGGTGGGTTGCATTTGTGCTTTTGCAGAACTGAGGCCTGTCCCGCGAGTCCACGCGCCCTGGTAGGTTTCATCCAGTACTATAGGGGTCTTTGACGACATTGGCGGATGAACGTCAAGGAATGCTTCTCGCGGGGTTTGATCCCAAGCCCTAGCTTTGTCCTTGTGAGGTTTCCCTGCGTTTGAGAGGGAGATCAAGGTTGCAGAGGTCCCCTGGTCTTGTCATGGCCACTTAACTATGGCATGGACCCCTCTTTCCCACCCCGGGCAATCGAAAGATCCCATCTGCCTCTCTTGGCAAGACTCTTTGTCATTCCTCAAGCTGACATCCAGCCCCAGGCGATTGCGCTTGCGGAACTGTTCCTGTAATACATTAAGAAAGACAAGATGAGGGTCAAACTAGAAACAAGGAAGAATGAGACCATAGGTATGGTTGTTAATACCTGTGTGTGTGTGGTGTGTGTGTGTGTTTGTGTGTGGTGCGTGTGTGTTATGTGGTTGGTGTGTGTGTGTTAACTGTGTAGAGATCTGCCGCTGACCGAAGCTCTCGCACCAGTGCGGCTGAAGAGAAGAGGTTGTCCGGCGAACACTTTTGTAAGTCTGTGGCCTGATGGAAGAGTTTTCACACAACTTGACGACACATCTCCTTCCCATATCCAAGTGTGGATTCTTTTCCCAGTGCCACCTTCATAGACCTGGGAAAATCACATAAGGACTTTCCGTCGGATGAAAGCAACTGGGCCCAGAATCTTGAATCCCCAGGGGTGGGCGTTTGCCCTTCACATATTGCTGATGGGCGGCAGCGCGTTCCCTCTGAACGAGACCATCTGTTCGTCGATGGAGTTTGTGCTCCATCGGGGTGATCTGGAGACATTGTTTTGCGGAACATGTCAAGCCATGGACGGATCTTCCAGCACTTATCCCCTTTTTGTCTGTTGGATGGAGCCTCGTTGTCGGTGAAGTGGAGAGATGTGAGGAGGGTCTGGAAACGGTCGCGTGACATGTTGTCAGCGACCATGCCAATCCTTGTGTCGTTTTCCCAGTAGACACGGTTTCCTGGAAGCTGGCAAAGTCCCATGCGCAGGTACATGCCGATTAGGATTTCCAGCTCCTTTACTGAGGTCTGCACGTTCTTGTGGGTGGCAGAGGTTTGAACGCTGTAGAGGTTGGTTTGCTCCATCATTGCCACAAGCATCTCATCTGTAATGAACCTCCTGAAGTACTGCAAGGGAGTGGGGAGCTCATCTGGAGGTTGGACCCTCTCTCCTTTGAAGGTGTGGTCTGGTGTTTCAAAAGCTTTTTTTCGCCATAAGAATCTTTCTTGGCCAGTAGAACGGTGGGATGCTGCAGTCGGAGGTTCTTCATTAGGAGGTTCTTCTCCCTCTGGTTGAGGTGGTTCCTCTTCCCCTATGTCGCTTTTCCGACTCATATGGCTCCTCCTGATAATCAGGATCTAAGACAGGATCATCAAATTCATCCTCATCTTCATCCTCACCACCTAATCCCTCCACCTCACTTTCGTTTCCATCCAGGATTATTTCCAAGATCTTCTGGATGTCCTTGTCTCCATCCCACCTATTTTTCCTGTTCATCTAGAGAAGAAAATATGGAAAATAATCATGACTTTCAGCTGATGTCATCATGTAACGTTGGTAGCACTTTACCCTACAGCACGGTAATTATCATTTCCAGCTGTGAGGTAAAGTGCCACATGACGTTAGTCCTAAACCTGCCATGCTGTAGGTAGCTAGCTAGATAGTAGTATAAGTAACTAGTTATTACTAGTTATAGCTAGCTATATATATATAATATAATAACAATATATTACTGAGTATAATTGAATTAAGTAAACTGATCAGATAATGACAAGTTTTCTAATTGTGACATATAGGTCACAACACTTATTTTTTTTACCAGTTTAGTCTAAATGCCTGCAGTGACGTCTATGTCACACACATATTTACTTGCTCTTTTACCACAGAATAAAAAATAAAAAGTCTAAACAATGATTTATATTCGACAAACAACATGTTATCCAATATTTCAACCATAGGATTTGATGGATCTTACCTTTTATCCTCAGGATGGGCAGAGGGGCAAATTAGCTGGCAGACTGAAGTTAGCTTGTGGAGAAAACAGTCAGGAAAGGTGGCTGCAAATTGAACATGAGGTCATCCCAATGGTCACATGACCTTTCAGAAATGTGATTTGGGTGTCGCTTCAGGACTATATGAGTTGAAATTAAGGGTATACTTGAAGTGACACCCCTGCTACACCCTAAAATTGTGTGTGACATGCGCGTCACCGTAGGTTCTTATGGGTTGCTGGTGCCTGTAATTCAAATAAGATATGGAAGCCCTAAACTTGGTAAACAATAAAGACTGTATGTCAGCATGGTTTCAAAACTTGCCACATCTAGAAAAACATGTCTGCATTGTGTTTTAACCCTGGAACGGAAACAGATTTAATGGCATGGGAGAAATGAGAAAGCAGAAAGGACTCGTGGAAGTGGAGAGAGGAGGAATGACTGGAACATTGCATTGTAACAGAGCGGCATGTTAATGACTGTGTTCCCAAGACTGCTTGCTTCTGCACTGAAACATGAAAATGAGCACTAGCTTTGGCATCTGGGAAACACTATTCTCAGAATGTGTAATCCTCAAGTGAGATTAGCATCAAGGAATAGATGCAAAACATTTTTACTGAGTGTGAGTTTGTGTGTGTGCCCGCACAATGCATTTTGGGGCCATGTTCTCATCAAAGTTGGTCAAAATGGGGCCCTTGGGAATTGGTTGAGATACATAATGAGGATGAAGAACTGCACATCACTAGAGATTGAAGCTTGTCTTCACAGTTTCCAGCATCTTTTTAACTGGTTTACGCATATTTTAAGCTGTTAAAATGAAATCTGGAAATCTCTTAGGCATTTTTAGTTGCCAAACAAAGTGAAATGCTGGGGATTTATACTTACAACACGAGTAAACATGGTTTAAGCGGACAGGTTTCTAGAAAATTACAAGTTCTGAGCATCTGGGGCTGATGCCCTTGCTCTTCTTCCTGGAACACTACTGGCTTCATTTCATTATATTTTTTGACTACTGCAAACATTACATTACATTTGAGATTCAATTTTAGAATACATGTTAGGACAATTGCTCTGGTCAAAATGGCAAACTGCAGGGCAGCAGAGAATGGTAAAACCTGATAGCAGTGTGTTATTAATGCATTGCCTTTTTATCTTGTGTTAACATTATCCTTTCTATGCTGTAACAGTAATTATCATTCTTTCCATTGAAGAAAATAGGCATCAAAGATAGGTCTCACTGTATATAAGAGAAGGAATTAATAATTTAAGTAATTAATATAGGTATTTAATTGCATATTGCCAAGTATACAATTAAAAGGCTTAAAAATTGTGGAAAAAATATACAATATACCTTCCTAAAATAGAAAGTATCAAACTACAGGTACTTAACAAAAGGATGAGTCTTCACACTACAAAAAAACATTGGAAATAACTCCCTACACTGTCAAATACATTATTCTCAGTCAGGCTGACGAATAGTAACTGCTAAGTTGTAGTACAAGTAAAAATAATAATGAATGGAAGTTGGAGGAAACTGAAAGGACATGAGGAATAATCAGCCTCTCAAATAACCTCAGTTTGTAACAGAATCTTCAATCTGGTATGAGGGTCAATTTAATGAGCAGAGGCACTAACTCACAGCCTGCCAGCTGTCTCCTTAAAAGTATCATAGCTGATCCTGCCACATTTGGATGGCAGAGGTGGAAGAAATTGATTTCTCCCTCACTATAGCTGTCCATGGAAACGAGGAACTGCCAAGCAGGTAATATCTTGTGGTGTGCATTGAAACTTTTGTCATTGGTCAACCTCAGGAGGGACAGAGCTGCCAGGATTCTCCCTGGTGTGTTGTGCCCCTAGCAATCAACACTGACAAAGGTTAGTTTCTCAGAATAGATGAGCGGATGCAAATACACACACTATCCATCACAGTTTTCCTTAAAATGTCCAATATTTATTTATAGAACTACAGTATATGTAAAAATATGATATCCAATGTGATACATGTTGTTGAAATGCTGAAACTAAATAAACTAAATCAGAATTTTAAATTCCTTTTTTAAATATTCAGATTTATAAATATGCTAACTGGATGTAAATAATAATCAATTTAAACTGATAATGGATCGGAAGAGCTGGGTTCGATCAACATAAAAAAAAGACATGCAGTGATAAAAAGGGATAAGGGAAACACTTTCTTTGCCTTTTCATTCAGAATCGACTCAAATAAATAGATAGAAATCAAGAATATAGTAATATAATAATAATAAGAAGAAGAAGAAGAAGAAGAAGAAGAATACTGAAAGCAGGGTAGTTTTGGATTAATAAAGAGATCAATGGAAAAATAACCAAGACTGTGCTTCCTATAGGAATGATACGTGAACTTCTGCCATGAGTTTCAGCAAATGTTTTTGCATTGAAGTGCAAAGACACAAGCAAAACAAAACAGGTAGAGACTTTATGTCAAATAGGTATATCATAAAATATTTGCCTACGTAAATTAACAAGCACAAACCTTTTTATTTCATCGACACTGGAAGTTTCGGGGACATCACTGCTCCTCACATTTTTCACTAGATTGTCTGTGACCAAAGAACTACATTGATTTGCGACTCACATAACGAAGGACAGTAGACGAGGACACGAGTAGGCGTAAGGTAATTAGCAAATTGGAAAGAACCTTTTCCTTGTGCCATGCCACACCTGAAAGACCTTGCTGACTGGTGACTTGGTTCTAATTAGCTGATAGTTTCTAGCTGACCTACGTGATTTAGCTTTATATCTGCGGCTCAGTCAAGCTTACCCGACACTGATGATAATTATTTAGACTGGAATGTTTGCTGCTTCTTAACTTTCAACCCACATCACCTGCTTATAAATAGAAATAAGGTATTTCTAAATACAAAACCTCTGTGGTAAGTTTCCAAATAGACTAAAGACAATACCTTGTATAGCTGTCTTTGCTGTAGATTGTGATTGTTGTCCTGATGTTGGAAGCTGTTTAAAACAGGAGTCTGTGTTTTGGTACTTGACCAGCATATTTAGATTTCTGATGCCTCCTTAAATATTTTCTTTTGTGTACCTACTCCTTTGCAGTTGTAACTCAGTGGATAATGGGTGTTCTTTCACAATTATGGTGTAAGTTTGCTCCTGTGTACCCCTGAAGTCTTCCTTTTGCTTTCCTATGTTTCCTTCACCTTTTGTACTTGCAACAAGAGCTTTGACGTCCTCTGCAATGTATGTTTTATTTCAAGGGAGGGAGCTCATAAACTATGCCGCCTCTTCTCAATGTCAGCTTTGTCCTTGAGGTAAGTAGCTGGTTCAGTTTAATAGAAGTTTCTTTTGAGTAAATAAAAAGGGTCACAAGAAAGCGTTGCATACAGCACTCCTGTGTCTTATCATCTCTCATAATGCCCTGATAGAATTTTCTTTGCTCTACAATTTCTATTAAATTCACATTTATATTTAAATTATATATTACTGTATGTTTGGTATCAGATGTTTCATTTGTATATTTAGCCTAATCTTTTCTTGACATGGTGACATTTTCCATCAAGGATTTATTAATACTGTTACTTTGAATCTTCACATTACAAACTGATGTCTGAAGTGAAGAGAAAGTAGTAAAACAGTATAGTGTAGTACTTTTTTATTGATCCTCTATTTTAGTGAGTCACAGGATTTTTAGCTACTGAAAATATATTTACAAGGTCATACTGACTGTGTCAATTTGATTTATTTTTTATTGTAATAGAAGATAAGTTGGGAAAATGTGTAAAGCTGTAAAACCATATCAGTTTGGAGATAATGTCATATTGTCTGATTGGCTGAATAGAGTCATATGTTGTAATAACTACAACAAATATATCTGTGGTGCCTCCCTACTAAAGGAGTCAAATAATTGCAGTGATAGCAGTAGCCCTGGGAAATATGTGGGCACAGTCTGAGCTATCAACTTAAGAGTTCCAGCATCATCACGAAATTAAGAACTTTGTGTAAAGACCCCGAGGGACCCATGCTGTGCTCATGTCTCTACCACTGTTATCTTACACCAAAGGTTCCCTCAATGACAATTTATTATTGCTCTCTCTCTCTCCTGTCACTGTCTAACTCTTGCCTCCTCTTCTCGCTTTGCCTATCTGTTGCAGTCGCCCCACAATCCTTCTTTTAAAAGTGCCAGTGAACTGTGGCTGCTGGGCCTAAAAATATCCGCCCCTTGACAATGCTCTGTGACACGTCTTTCTGCCAGCTACCTGATCCATTTGAGTTTCTTTTCTGGCTCATCTTCGCCAGTCCCATTTCTTTCTCCTTGAGCTATGTCAGACTAACCTGGCTGTGCCAAAACCTAATATGACACTTAGGACCCATGTTTCCCCACTCAAAGTCACCACATTAGAGTCACAGTCAATATGGCTTTAATCTACAGGCTCCACTGAAGTGAATCAAACAACCTGTCTTAATTGTTCTTGCTCATAGTGGGCCAAAGTTTGCTTCATTTCTTCTTTTTATATATTTGCTGTCGGGATATTACAGACATAATTGCATCTTAGAAGTGAGCAGTTAGAAATTGAGCACTCAGACAGGAGCCCCTGAAATGGAGACAATTTCCTCTTAAACAAATGTCATTGGCAGGGTATTCCTGTCTTGTTACGGTCTCAGGTTTCACGACACAAGTAATTTCCTGGATCGACAAATAGCATTGATTTGAGTTGCATTGAAGTCACCATTCAATTGCATTTCTTTCAAAATGCAATCAGGCATCACTCGCGCTATTGATTTAAAAGTAGTCCTGGTTTGGATGAAAAAAGCCTCTTGTGTCTAAATCCACTGGGTGTATTTCTTCATCCCTGCAATGCATTTTGCCTTGACAGAGGATAAGATGTGTCAAGGACTCACTCGTGCAAGACAATTCAAAACAATTACCTTTTTTCTCCTTTACTGTTGAATAGTGTAATGTAATCTTTTTTATTTAACAAAAAAAGTGTACACAACCATATGTATTAGAGTTTCATAGATCTGTTGTGTAGGCGAACATGCATGTTGAATATATGTGCATGTGGGGAGGTGGTGTTTGTGGTACGTGTGTGTGTAAAGGATGGTGGGGGTGTGAGAGAAAAGATAGTGGGCTTCAGAGAGCTTCTTAATGAGCCAAGGTAATCAATGCCAAAGGAGATGGCTTTGATGGATGCCTTTGAGAAAACAATGTGTCGTGATGACCTCTGTCTAAAGAAAGCACAAAGCAAA